AACTGGATAAAGAAAGAATGGTTCAATGAAATATCACATTTAGAAACAAAAGTAAAGGCTGAGGATATAGCTCAGGGGCACAAATCCCTGTCAGGCAAGTGCAAGGTCCTGGGTTCGATTTCTGGTACAAAAAGAAAAGAAATAAAAAAATAAAACTAGTTAATGCCCTACAGAGCAATAAAACTGTAACCTTTAGGTCTATCTTTTCTATACAAAATTACTCTTTCCTCTACTAGAAAAAACTTATTTCAGTCATGGAGTAACAAGAATCATTTCCATGGCCGTGGGTTTTCATTTTAAGAAACACAATGAACATCTACCCTGTAGAGTTGTGAACTACCTTGCAGTGATAACTAACTGGAAGAAAGTACACAGTCCTGGAAAGGTGGATATTTGTCATTTGAGACTGATTTGCACTGTCTGTCCAGCAGGAGTCTGAAGGGAGAAGCAATCAACCATTTGCTTCTTTCTAAGGTTTTGGTAAGTTTCTGAACAATGCCACAGAGTAAGTTCTTGTTAGGAGCCCACTTCAGACTCACTGAACGGAGCACAATGTCTTCAACGATTCTTATTTTTGTGGTTCTTATTTCTTTAGAATTTTGTGTGGGAGTATAGCAGTTACTATGTACTTAGTTAATAACTAATTTCAAAATAATCTCAGACTTTATTTTTTATTTTATTTTTATTGTCAAACGTAAGCTCAGAGAAGACTACTGAGCTTGTAGGACAGAAAACAAGCAAACTTTTTCTGTAAATGTTTATGACACTTTATTAAGTTATAAAATAGATACCAGTATTACTATAGAACTTTGGAAAGAATAAAAGGCAATGAAGTGAGAATTGGTCCTTCCTGGTTACAGTACTTGCAAACCTTCTCCAGGCAGGAACTGTACCTCATTTACCTCTTATATCTTCTGCATTTGCTAACACTCAGTGAGATGTGGATTCTGGAGACGAGACAGAGGGAAGGACATAGCAAGCAGAAAGGAATGGAGGCTTTAAAATATTTTGCATAAAGCTATATAGGCCCATTATTCTCAAATTAGCCTTGATGAAATCTTCCTGTTGAATGTCAGTTTGGAAGCTAAATACTAAAAATGAATTCTTGCCAAGAGGAAGCAGACTTGCTGGGGTTACCAAGTGGATGGACATGACATAAACTCTCTCCCTTTTCAGGCTTTGCCCCTGATAGATGTATGGTCCGACTTCAAGGATAAAAAAAGACAAAGAAAAACAAACAGCAAAAAAATTTAACTCTCAACAAAGTCTGGCTGATGCATCTCATCTATTCTGTGGTCAATAATTCTGTAAAAGTCCCCTCTGGAGGTCAAATGACAATAAATTAACTGTTTATTCCCATTATACTTTTGTTTTGTTCTCAGCACCCCCTGAGGCAATAGAATTGAACTTCCAGCTTTAGTTTAATGAGGGGAAATAATACTTAATAAAAAAGACAGAATTAGAAATAACCTGAATTTTGAAATCTTACCATGATATACCTATTGCAGTTATGGAAGGTAGAGATAGCCAGAAAAGTTAAAAACAAATGAAGTAACTTTCAGTGAGTGATTAGTTTCTTTTTTTCCCCTTTGTAACGCTGTTTCCAACATATTAGAAATCACCCTTTGTATCTCAGCATGGCAATAATAAGATGGATGACAACTGCTTGTACTTTAGCGATTTTCTGCTCTTAAAATAACGCTCTTCACATTTACACTAACCCTGGAATGTTCCACCACTCACCTCACATTAAATGTTCAGCTGACACCCTGAGGTATTAAGACAAATCTTTCTTAGGTGTCAGTTCTTCAGAGCATAATACTCTAAATGTGCTTCTTCTGTAATAATATATTCACTTTCTTTTAAGGCACATTTTAAAAAGAATGTAATATTTTTAGTCCCAATACATCTATATTTGAGAAAAATTAATTAGAGGCAGAACTCCTAACGACTTTTGCTGTGTCTAATGACTAAACCCATTCCATCAGCAAAATCTTAAGAGATAGGACTGCAGGGAGTTTTACATGAAGTATTTGGTGCTTTTTTCCACCATAAAGAATTTCGGGGTCTATAGCTGAACATAGAAACTCAAATCATTCTTGAAGGCCCTCATTGAAATATGAATAACAACACAATACTCATTTTTTAAAAATTTCTTTAATGTGGCAGTTACCCAACATTTTAATTTTCTTTTTCTGGAAGAATATGCTTAGAATTCCATGCAATTAGAGATTGCTAGCATTCTGTAAAATATTCAGGGTAATAGGAAAATGTCACCATAGTGGAACATTTGCAAGACTTTCCTAATAATTTTGTGTTATTTTTATTTAGAGTAATTTCAAGATCATTCAGTCATCATCCCTGATGTTCTCAGTGAACACGTCTCAGATTAAGTTTGGTTACACCTTCTTGCCGCTTATTTCACTATTTGCTTTTCATATTGTGTATGTTCATTTCCACATCCAACTTTCTCTCTACAGGTCTTCAGTCTGATTAACACCGTGACTCTGACAGCATTAATTAATTGCAAACAGTGACCATACAACTTTCTGTAATGTCAAACAAAAAAATTTAACACCTGTGTTGTATTGCAATCTTTGCTTCAAACAATAGACTGAACAGAAGGGCATATGTATCATTGTTCTACAGAACAGGTGACCACTCAATTCAGGGATAGTGATTATTCTTTGTGTGGGAAAAAATCTCCTTCCAAAATTTACTTGGAAAAGGATAGTTTCTCAAAGCTACAATTACAACTTTAATTAAACAGAAAGTACAGTATGTTAGATAATCTTATATGAAAGAGCATTATTTCTTTCCTAAATTTCATTTCTTTGTTATAGAACTGAACAAAAATATCACTGAAACTTAAAATTAAGCATCAATAGTGAATAAAGATTAAACATTCATTATATATATGTATATACATATATATATGCACACATATGTATATAGTATTTATTTATTCTTTTTTTTTTTGGTAACGGAAATCAAACTCAGGACCTTGCACTTGCCAGGCAGGCACTATGCCACTGAGCTATATCCTTGGCCTTGTATTTATTTAAAAAGACTTACTGATATACCTGGAAAAGGATGGCTTTTTAATAAGTCATTAAAGTACACATCTGTGGATTAAAAACATTGTTGATCATCACATCTTGCACACCTAAACTTCAGTTACATGGTAGATAGGGTGGTGATGATTCACAAGTGTTTTCTGTTGAGATAGGGTGGTGATGATTCACAAGTGTTTTCTGTTGAGATGTGACCGTACCTGAAATCTTAAAATGGTACCTAAAATGGTACCTTAAAATGGTACCTTCATAATAATGCTACAAATTAGGTTAAAATCCCAATATACTTGTAGTGAATGCTTTTGGTGTTTAACTTTTAAAATGTGAATGTCCTTGATGTAGGTTAAATTAACTAAACTTGAGGCTCCATAAATATTTCCATCTATGTTAATAATTTGCGGTTTAGATTTAGAGAAAATACCTTATCACTTATGTCTTATAAAAGCACTCTATTCCTTCAACATTCTTGGTAGGCTAAAAGCTTGTAGTCTGTATTGAGCACCAGGTACAATACCTCAAGCAATAAGATAAAATCTTACCAGCAGGTACAGTTCAGAGTCTACTATAAAGATAATTGTATACATACATCATTAAAACACAGGAAGAGGTTCTAATGGAAGCACATAAATCATTTCATGGGAATATCAAACGACATGGAGCTAGGTGTTTCCTGTAAGGAATGAGTTCAGCACAGATTTTCTAACAAAGGAGTGTTTTGAGTAGTGTATTGAAAAAAAGTAAGAGTTGACCAAGCAGACCATATAGATATGCAGGCTATATCAGTGTTCCAGTGTCTCTACAGAATGGAGGTATGGGAGAGGTAATGGAGGATTCTCTAATCATAAAATACATGTTACTGAAGTATAAGAAGCCTGCAGAGGAATGATTGCAGTCAGTTATGAAAGGTCACCAGGGGCCATATTCCATGGGAGTTTGATTTTAATCTGTATACATCAAAGGAAAATGTGAAATGAGTAATTATATTATGAATGGTTGGGTTCTGTAGCTGACCAATAAATAGTCAACACGTATACACCAGCACATTGAGAAGGAAGCATAGAGATAAAGAGACAGGAAGAACAACAGAGGGAGTAAATGACATGTTATGGAATACTGACATATTTTTGTTGTAATTCTTTTCTCTGTGTGCTTCTAAATAATAGAATATTTCAAGATGTCAGGTGGGAATTCATGGTAAAAGCCAGAAGCCAAAGCATTGATTTTTAGTAGTTTTTAAAAATTTATTAAAATACCTTTGCCCATGTTTGCTACTATTGTGGATATATGTTCATCTCTCAGTACTTGTATGTGGGAGTGTCATTTCATAGGAAAAGAAAATACTGTACTCTTACAGTAGCACCATCCTGTCTTCATGCCCAAGCATTCCAGGCAACTTCTAGGGTTCATTAATTTCAAAGCAATCTTTTAAAAGTGTGTGTGTGTGTGTGTCAGTAAATGTCCATCATTGCTATTTTATTTTTATTTTAATTTAAAAACTGTTCATAAGTTCTATCTATGTATCACTCAGTCCAACAACAGAATATATTGTTGTTTTATTTTGTTTTGTTTTTTTCTGGTACCGGGAATTGAACTCACGACCTTGCGCTTGCCAGGCAGGCGATGTACTGCTGAGCTAAATCCCCAGGCCACCAACAACAGAATTTAATAGAATTCAAATGTAAAATAATATGTAATTGATAAAAATGTTTAAATGTAAAATTTTTCTATTTCATCTATTTTGCTATTAAAGAACGAGGTGATCTCTAATTTTTATAATTAGTTCTCAATGTTCTCAGTGTATGTATCTGAAATCGGAAGTTATCATTTCGTATGTATGCACATGAAATATATATATATATATTTGACAGTGTATACTAGAATTGTGTGATCTAACACACATGCATAATTTAATCTGTTTATTTACAGAAAGCCACATCCTGGAAGACGTCAACAAGTGCATCATAGCTTTGAGAGACCGAGATGCTGAGAATTTAGACCGTGCTGCAGGGGCTATCAGAGGCCGGGCGGCCAGGGTCGCTCACATTGTCACAGGTGAAATGGACAGCTATGAGCCAGGCGCTTACACTGAAGGAGTAATGCGAAATGTTAACTTCCTCACAAGTACCGGTAAGTCTCAGTGCCCACTGACAGCTGCACTGTTTGAAACTTGAATCTGCATAGTGACTAAATATTCATATGGAAAAGAGGTTTCAGCCACGTTTGGACATACAGAACATCTGATTATTACTTATGTCCTTTGGTTATGTGATTTGAAATTTATCCCAGTGAAGTAAATATATTCTGTGGGGAAACAGTCTTTATAAACATTATATAAACTTGATATGCATTATATAAACTACCCACAGGCAATAGTGACTTAAGTTTATTAATTCCAGAGCTGTGAGGAGGTGTGGTTAGACTAGTGCAGTACTAAGTGTGTAATAGTTTCCAGAGCTTCCTTTAGCTGTGGCATCAGTACCCTCAGGTTTTTCACTGCATTGGTTCAATGTGGAAAGTTCATCAGGTTTCTAGGGAAATGCTCTCTACCTTTATCGGCAATTGTTTGCAAAACATTTTGTCCTTGCACATAATTGTCTTTGATTGCTTAGGAAATACATAACTAGGATTTTGTTTTGGTTGCAGCACCCAAGTCACTATTTTCTAAAATCAGCCAGTAAATGCTCTGAATCACTCAGTGAAGTGGCATTCTTTTTTATATTGTTGTTATCATTTCTCTAAGAAACTTAGGGAAGTGTCAAGATTCATATGAATTCATAAAGGATGAAGGCAGTTGAGAGTGTTCACAAGTCATCATGGCAGAATTCTTTCCTATGAAAATCCTTGTGGATTTGTGAAATCCTCAGATACTTATTATTACCCTTAATACGAAAGCAATGATATAGTTGTGATTCCTCTACTGTTTGAAATTACATATTTTAATCCTCCATCATTGTGACTGTTATGCAAGGGCCTATGAATTTGGAGGATATGCACTGTGTTTAGTGAAAGAAGTAGAAAAGAGAAGAATGGAGTAGTTTTTAAATTCTTGCCTTCCTTTTTTGTGTGAAGCTGTCTTTTGAGATGAACTAAGAGGAACATACCATCTGTGAAATACCGTTTACAATAGACTGGTTCTGAAGATCTATGCCACAAGCAAACAGCAAGATTTGCAGAGAGTTGGTTAGGTTTTAGTTTTCCCAGTATGCTGATAACAGAAAATCATCCATGAATCTTGGTACATAGTTTTCTCGTTATTGCGACATATTTCAAAATAATAAAATAATTAAAATGTGCTAAGGAACAACGAAGGCATTACATCTGCAACACTTGGTATTAAACCCATATTTCTAATTTCAATCCTCAAAGTTACTGGTGTCACAAACAGCACATAATATTTGCTTTTGCAGTTAGGGGTGGCAACATAACGTACTTACATGCTGAAGAATTTGATTGTGCTATGTCGTTCAGTATCTCTTCCCTCTACTAGATTTTAGTGGTCCTTTCTTGTTGGCAAACATCAAGTACAGAGTTACCTGGGTCTCTGATTTTTTTCTACCTTCTGGAAATGGAATTATAAAGAGGAAATGCATCAAGGGTTCTTCTTTCAGACAAATGACAGTGTCCTTGTCTTGGTTACTGTTCTCTCACTGCTGAAACAAATATACCTGATATCCAAAATTAAGGAAGGAGAGGTTTGCTCAATGCACAGTGTGTGGAGGTTTCAGTCCATAATCAGCTGCTCCAAGGCAGGGTGGTGTGGTGAGCGGCCACAGTCCAAGGCCGCAGAAGACAGCAAGGCAACAAGAGCAAAAGAAGAAGGAGAATAAGCCTCTTTTCCTCCCTTATATTGTGGGCAGATTAGCCTCGCCTAGTACTCACACAATTTCCATGCCCTCCTTTTGCACAGGATGAGGTTGTTTACAAAGTGAGGACCCTGGATCCCTGCTGAGTTGCTTAGATAAACTTCTAAACTTCTCAAGTCTGATCTTTACATCTCACGTTCATGTCATATTATTAAAGTCTTGTAAGCATGCTCTTTATTATCGTAATGTCTGCACAAGATGCTAAATTTAGTTTTATACTCCATAGGAGTTTATATCTGCCATATGCACAGCAAGAAGTGAAAGTGAAATTCTACAGTTTTTAATTGATCTGATCAGAAAATAAAATGAAAATTGTCTACTCATTTAAACATGTTTGTTAATAAATCTATAATTTATAAAGACCTTATAATATGTATAATCAATATAGCTACATTACCACAATCAGGACAGAAAAAAAGTTCTTCTTTTTCTAATAGTTCTATGTAATGTTAGTTAAAATTATCCAGGTAAATTATGGCCTAGTAGCCCAAGTAAAATACATATAAAGTAATCCTGAGCTGTTCTATCTAAAACATACCTTATTATTAACATAGTACTGTAGTTTACACATTCCTAATTTTTTATTTTAGTTTTTCAGATAATTTTGCTGCATCTTTGAAGAAATCTTCTGATTTTTAAAATATATATCTAATTGGAATTTTCCCTACTCAGCTTTCCTTGAAATTTATCAAAAACACATTTTTTACTAAAGGGAATTCTGAGCAATAAATTAGATGCAAAACCTAATTAAATCAGGCTGATCTTAACCAAAGCAGAAAAATGTGAGCATTCCTTCTCCCATAGAGCTACTGTCTACAAAAGTACTTCCAACTCTTCTAGCCTCCACAATTAACTAACAGAGGATGTTCATCTTTGTTCAAATATGCTTCATCTCTTGGACTTATTTATCCATAATTATCAAATTACATAATTGTAAATGTCATATTTTGTGTTATGAAGCTTTAATAATTCATATTTTGGCAAGAAAATGGTTATGTGCCTTGTTTTGCTTTTTGACTCTTTTTCCTTTATACAGTTCTCAGGTCCTAACCCAGCTTTCTGAAATTGACTTAATGAGGAGAAGTTGTAAATTGTTTTTTCTTTTCCTGAGATTTTCAACTCTTTGCAAAATGTGCCTTAAAGTATTGTCATCAGTATGAAAACTAAGCCATACTTATCTAAATCACCAAAGTGTTTGGAACATCATGTCTTTGATTTCAATCAGACTTTGTAGCTCATTAGTACGTTTTCAAGATTTGATGAGCCTCTATGTGTTTTCTTTGCACTGGGAAACAAGGTTGGCCCGTTGCATTTAAGGAATTTACATTGTTCCTATGAGCGAGCCAGCAGTTGTTTTTAAGTGAAATGTAGTCAACATCTGGAGCGCTGCATTCCGCTCAGGGGCATAAATATTGTAATCTCCATATGAAATTCTTTATTCTGCCCCACACTTTCCTGTCACTAATCTTCTCCACCTGTCAGGAATTCCTGATGGGGAAAGAAAATATATTGGCTTTTTTATTAAATAACAAACCTTTGGAAAATTGCAGGGCGAAGGCTTACAAGTTCTATTCTTAACATCAAATTTAATTCTTTCATAAAAGGTTAGAAGAAAGCTTAAAGCAGAAGTGGACTGACATGATATATTTTCTTGTGATTTATGGACTCCATCAAATTCAGAAGTCATCAGGCACAAAAGCATCTGTTGCAAACACCCAGCCCCTGCCCGGGTTTATTGTCAGCCAGACTCATTGACCAAAACACAACAGGCACATAACTGAACCTGACCAAGCCATCACCATGCCATCCACTGTCCACAAGAGGTCATGATGGAAAATAAAGGCTCATCCATTAAAACCCACCAAAGCCCAAACTATAACTCCTTTCCCAGAATTCCCTCTGTAGCATAGAGAAAAATCATATAATTCCCATGTTTTTCTTACAGGCAAATAAAACAGTTAAAAAGATATGTGAGCCCATTCCTAAAGTTGTGTTGCTCTAAAGTTGTGTGGTGTTCTAAAATTTGGCTCTACACTCGTTTAAATAGTAGATAGACTTGATTAAATGGATACTTAATAGATTTGCTTACATTGATAGGCTTGATTAACACATGTTACATTCCTTATGTTCCTTTGTCTTACGAATTTAAATTGTTATAGGTGAAAACCAAAAGCTTTTGAATCTGGAAGTTCTTGCTTTCTCTGGCTCTACAGTATTTGCAAATTAGTAGTTTGTGTGTCAGGTACCACTGAAAGGAGTTTTGCATGTCCAGTGCAGTTTTCACTGGGGAATTTCTGGAACCCAGTGCTGTGCTCTCATAGGTTGAAACTGGGCAGTAGTCTCATAAAAGATATCAGCCTCTTGTTGGCTGTGTTCATGTCCCGATTTTATGCTGTCGTTTTTCCCTAGTGTGGGCCAAAAGACACCTGGCACTGCATTCCATTGATACTTTCACATCACACAAACATGGCCAGGAGTGTTCCTTTCGATCTTCTCCATGCTGTCCCTCTCATGTTGAATATCCCTACACCTTGTTTCTCTAATCAAACTACATCCATTTTTAAGAAACAGCTTGTACCTCCTCGAAACCTTTCTTCACTAACTGTGGAGACAGGAAATTCTTTCTGTTTTCATGTACTTCGGTTTAAAGGATATGTCTCTCACAGTATTCCACATAAATGTTTGTTGAGGAACTCTTCAGATATAGCTATATGGAAATGACTTCCTTTCAAAATAGAATGTAAACTACAGGAGAAAAGGACAGTTGTATTTTTTCTCTTTACATTTATCTCAGTGTCTACCCTTGTGACTTAGGTTAGATTTAAAACTCAAAACAAAATCAAATTCTCTCAAATACAACCTCTTGGTTTTGCTAAGTCTATTTCTGCAGTGAGAATGTTGCTTTCTACTTTAAATCCCTTTCAAAATACAACCATTCTTTAGCAGTTTCTCAAATGCCAACACCTTTGCGAAGGTGTTTCTGAGTTCCCTTTCAGTTAGATTTAATTGTGCCATTATCTGTTGGGGGATGAGCTTGTCCTCTCATGTTAATGTTTGTCTTTCTATGCCTCATATTATAACCAACCATTTATATACAGGTTTCTCCCTGAGAGGGGCAATCTTTTAAAAGGTAGATCTCACACTTTCTTTACTTTTATCTTCCCCAGCAACATCTCACATAGTAAAGGTACCCAGTGATCATTTATTAGTTAGTCTTTCTCCTAACTATGAACTTAAAATTTACTACAAAATTGCATTTTGATG